ATCTTTCATCTAGTACGCATAGAAAAACATTTAGGCACTGCCTTATAAGGTAAATAGGAGGGGGAAGAGGTGACTCGTCTACGTCATCACCTCACTTTGTTTCCGGACGGCGGTGTGACAGGTATCAACTAGTTCCGCTCCGCGTAAGTAATTATTACTATCTAATTAATTATTATTTTATTACAAAATTTGATATCTAATTAAATCTTATTTAATTAACAGATTGATGCAATCATAATCGATGGTGTGAATGCATTGACATTAGGTAAGAAGATTTGTAATTAGAATTATATGATTTTATATTTTTCTATGCTTTAACACACAATGATTTTTACCATAATCTGTCATTCTTTTTATGGTTTCAGAAAGATGTATGCAATCATCCTATTGTTTCCATCCTCTCAGAAAGATGTTCACCATCGTTCGTCCGTTCCATGGAAATTATACTAATCAATGGTGGTATATACAATTCTACATACATACGTGTAAGTACATTTATTTATTTCTTTTCTTTTATTTTATAATGGATCTCCGACGCAGCAACCTCCCCGTGGTGAGATCCGGTAACCGATATTGCTTACGGTGTCCATGAAATTTGTATGGTGCAACGTAAGCACTGTCGGGCCAATGGCTGACGTTCGATGCATTAGAAAATTTTAACTTCACCGTTTTATTAATCAATTCTAATGCAAATTAAATGATTAATTGAATTATATTATTTAATTACGCGTTGCAATTGTTGTTTAAATCTTATTCATTTTATATTTCTTATATTATACTATATTAAATTCACATAAATAATTCTAGACACATTCAATCGATTTTAATTAATTGTTCAAATGATTATATATAAATATTGCACCTTGTTTAATTTTACATTAATGCTATATCTATACTGTTCTATAGGTATTAACGCAATTAGTATACTTCTGTAAAAATAACCCTATCGCGATTAAATTTATTCTTTGAAAGATAGAATGCAACGCGATATTTTCTCGTTTGTATTTTATCTTTTTATTTTTTTTTTTATATAGTTTACAAGTTTGTGGTTACATCTTTTGAATATTTTTTTTATTAATAATTACTGCACATGAAAATAGTAGCACGATTTCAGAATTTTTGGATCATGTAGTTTAAATAATTTAATTTTATAACGATGAATATATTTTTTACTTATAGCATAAAAAATAAACAGAAGTACGCTACGACTTGCTTTAACTAAACTTTGAATTTCAGAGCTTCAGTTGCGATTGCGTGCAATGCAATCTTAGAATCAGTGTTTGTTCCGAAAAATGTTGCATTTTTTGTATGCAATCGTATAGATTGCTTTAAAAGTAATTCAATCGTAATTTAAAATCAATGCAAGAATTTGTTATAATATTCTTGTTAAAAAACAATTTGCTCGGTAAGCGATTAGAATCATTAACACACTTTCGGCCAATTCGGTAGAAGAGGATTTGCATCTCGATTAAAATATTGTCATGGTCGAAAGTGTGAATTAAAATATCTTCGTTTCTTCTGGATCATCTTTATCAACGAATCTGGGGCTTCGTCTGGATAAATCAACG